GCGGAATCTTCCTTATGCGACGTTTGTAGTGCTGAATGTCGATCGATAAGTTGGGCGCGGTGGTAACCCCATGACGAGCTTTATGCGTCTTTGAAATTCACAGCTGGGTATGGGTTCTAATTTCCGGGGTAGTCAAGAAAATCGAATTAGCAAAAGTACAGATCGTTCATGATTGCACAGTTTGCGGTGGATGAAGGTGCTAAGTATATCTTGAGTGCGCTGTACAAATGAAAACCAGATCATGTATCCATAAATGGTTTGTTGTCGACTCTAATTACACTTAATATATAACAAAGTGCTTCGTCGCGCGTAATACAAAAATTGGCGCGAACGAGATATGGCGGCGAAGCTATATCCTCTTCGCCGAATTTTCGGACTGTCGCTCGATCCAGGCAAAATTTGGTACACTGTATCAAACGACTGCTTTCGTAAATCAAGAGAGTTCATGAGGAGTGATTGAGGACATTGCAGAAGTATGCGTCCGCGATCTGGTCGATGGAAATGGTGGACAAGTCGACCCACCGTGGTTTGGTTCGTCGCCAAAGAAGGACACTGTTAATGTTTCAGCCCTCTTCAGAATAATTAGAAGAGCGTTATGACAAAAAAATCTCGTTGAATAGCTAGTGGTTACTTCTGATCAATTTAGGTTGGTGAGGGAATTATTAAATTTTCACCAGTTTGACTCGGAAATGGCTGGAAGATCGAATTTTCGCCGCAGCTCAAGACAGCTTGGATCGCTTGGATCGCTTGGATTGGAGACGCCAATATCTACGCCTGCTACAGTAGCCGACACAGTGGTCGCGCCTGTATCTTTTCAGACATAAAGCGACCGCTTAAAGATCTGCTGAGGTTGGATAAATCGATAGGACCTCGTTTATTCATGAAACGAGCTGGAAGACCTCTTGCAAGTAAGGAAAATTTTTGGGTTATCTAAATGGCTGAATCTAATATGAACATTCATTTAAATCCACTTTCAATTTGTGCACATTCGTGTACTGCATGATGCTGCTGCTGATAATGAAAACACTGTTTGTTTGTACTGCAGGGAGAGAATTGGAATTGTTCCAATTGATTTAGCTATCACAACTGGCAATGGGCTCTGTGGTTCTTAACAGAGTGCTACCTCTGGCTGTATATCCAATTGCGTTTGCTAATTGTCCTGAGAAAAAGTTAGTAGAGTTTGATTTTACTATACTGTGGTTATAACTTCTTTATCATTCCCTATCACAGGTAATGGGTAACTGTTAATTGATAATCCAAACTCAAACGTAGACTTACTCTTAAACTTTTTTTTTTACTTTTCTCAGGAGCAAGGTGAAGAAGTTGATTGTTTGGCTAAATGAGGAGAATAAAGTTCTGAAAGAAGACGGCTTCACTGTTGATGGCAAAAATTACAAAGCTAACTTTAAAGGTTGCATTTCAGATTGGATTATGCTTTGCATAAAAAATTACTTTTAATTAACCTTTTCAGGTTTAGGTCATATTTTATTAAAATTAATTTTTGTAAATTATCATTTTACTTTTATTTTTTTCTTAGTTACATTTGACTATACATGCTTCTTGAAAAAGTCAATGAAGAAAATTTTGTGCTAGCTGGGCATGGACTCAGTGTTGAACTCTGTTTGTTATGTCATACATTAAGGGTAATTTGAACATTTTTTTCCAAAAAAAAA